AGGTGCTGGCCAAAGCATCCCTCCCTGTGCCATCATTTACAAAATTATCATCATGTTTCATTTAGTAACATTTGAAACTAGTGCGTGATGCAATAACCTCATCGGGGAGGTGTTTTCTGGGATGATCGTTCATCTGATGAGTGGGGTCGTTTTCTCATAGACTTCTATACAATCAGAGTTGGTCTGCCCCCTGCTGGTCATTAGATAGAATGCATGTTTTAGGCATTTCCACACTGGCTTCACTTTCTGGGCCCAGGTGATGTAATATCCTGCCCTCAGTTTTCTTTGTTCCACATTTGACCTTCACTGTCAGCATTATTTTTGACCCCGGTAGCAGGGTCATGATATCTGCAGTTACACATGTTCGTGAGCTTTATGACACAGCTGGCTCACACTGCATTTACTGGTGCATTCATAGCTGCCAACAACAGCTCTCTAACCAGTAACTAAAAGACAATGTAGGTGCAGGAGTCCAGCATGTAGTCCTGACCTCGATCAATGACGAGCCGCCGAAGTGTGTGGAAATGTGGCGGCTGAAGTTCAAGAACAAACACGCTCGTTTGCTCCATCAAAGCGGCCCATCCCACAGCGCGACGTCGCCAATTAGTTGATTTATGTGTGTTTTCATATTTGATTAGCTCACTGAGGCCCTCCCTGCATGAGGCTCGATCTGACTCACCCCAGAGGGACACACACCTGTCGACCTCACTCTGACAGGTGTTTGTAATTAATAACGTGTAACTGGGGTCTCTGCTGTCCTCTTAATCAGGTCACATGAGAGCGGGCTGATGAAAGAGGGCTTTAATTTACCCGACAGGAACAAGAGTCACTGTTACCTGGGGGGAGGTTAAAGGTCATGACCCTGGGATGACCGAGAAGGACTCACACCTCTGAGCTGCTGCCTGCTGAAAATGCAAATTCTGCTAAAGCATGCTAACGGCCCGCTCTTCCTGCCCCTCACCCCCTCCACCATTATTTACCCAGACTGCACCTGTGACCGAGCGCGACTTTTAACACCAGTCGATGAGCAGTGTTGAGAAGGTTACTTTTAAAATGTATTCCACTACAGATTACATCCCCCAAAATGTAACATATTCTGTTACGTTACTCAATGAGAGTAACGTATTCTGAATACTTTGTGTAGCTGCCCACTTGGAATTACCACTCGTGACGCAGAGAGCTTCGACTGATGCAACTTTATCCTCTTTAAACCACCGACGATATGGCACCGTGAAAACTCTAAAGATGCACAAACAAATACCATTTAACATTTAAGTAGAAAGTGCAGAAATGTTCACATTTTACCATAGAATTATTTTGATTAACGCAAATAGTGACATTGACATAAATCAATAGTTTTAAAACTATTTATGTTACAGCATTTAATAAAATGAATTAACAACAACCTTTCTGTTTCTTAAATACATAAACAATCATTTGCATCATTAAACCTCTTT